AGTAAGCAACATACTGCAGTTGTAGTCTTCGAGGAACTGCCACAGCCCAAGCTGTTCTATGCACCCTCTCTCCTTTACTCATTTCCAACAGCCAAGAGACTGACACAAGATAAAATTTTCTTCTCTGCATTATCTTGCTATGAATTCTTCTTAAGGGATTCGATTCTGTTTGATATTCCATCACTCTTGTCCAATAAAAGCTGAAAGAGAGCAACAAAAAGTAAAACATTCAGCTAGCAAGGATCTCCCCAAAGCCAGAACCCTTTATTACCAAGATCTGATTGTTGATTCTCCTTTCTAGCTGCTACACATCATCTTTTAAAATAATTTAGAAGAATTTAGTATTTGATCAAGATAGTAACTCCTTTCTGATAAAGGGGATAAGTTTCTAAAGAAACTGTGGTGATGCATCAATGGGGGTGACAAGGTAATTTGGTTTTATCAACCATGTTGAAATTGTAAATCGACCACTATAAAGAGTTCAAAAAACACATTTCAAGTGTTAGCCCCTTTGTCAGCACAAGTAGAGTAGAGTAGACATCTATATTTATACAGGATAGCCCCTTCAGTGTAGTAAACACTGGTATCAATGGAGGTCCTGTTACTCACCCATCCCATATCCATCCCATACCACCCCAGGAGAGGACATCCATCACACAGTAATCTCGTGCATGGGCAATTAATGTCTCCTGCCCCTAACCATGCAGGAGACGGGACCTCCATTATATTCGTCCCTATCTGAGAAGACTAGAATATCTAACCATTTCTTGATGTTATAGAAAGGTAGCATATTCTTCTCAATTATTTTAAGACTTTGAGTGTTGGTCCGGCCAGGGCTCGAACCCTCAACCTTCTGCACAACAGTCCAGCGCTCTATCCATCGAGCTAACCAGGAAGCGGCAAACGCTTGGAACATCTGCTTTTTAACTCTTTACGGTGACCAATTTACAATTCCTCCTTTCTAATAAGTTTGAGCATTCTCTTTCCCTGTTTTCTGGATAATGAATGGATAATATAGAGAAAAGTAACACGCTTATCACTTCTGGTTGTTTAAGGGTTAACTCCAAGATGCGATTAACCTGTAACTTTTCCCTATAATATCCATACATGATCCAACAAACAGGTAATGAGAATACTCAAACTTACCAGGTAGAACTTGTTACCTTGATTGAACACCAAATTCTCCTAACCAATTTACAAGAAAATGTGTAGCAGCTAGAGGGGAGAATTCATAATCAGATATGAGGATTTAAAGGGTTAATAAAATAATGCAACCTAAACTTAAAGAGTTTTGTACTGATGTAGCACCATATTCTCCCCACCAAATTAAAGAAAAGCTTGAAAGGAGAAATGGGGGAACTGTTTTACTCTCCACTTAATTTCTGAGATGCAATTGAGCTTTTTGTAATAATTCTTTTTTTATACTCAACATGATTGAAGAGTTTGTCACCTGCAGTGTCACAGGAAAAGAAAGTTCTTTGATCCCAATTGAATATGTAAGATATTAGGATATTGGAATTTGTATTGCTTGCACCAATCATTCAAACCTGTGACTAAGTCAAAAGTACAAAGAAATGTTAGGTTACACTGAAGTTGTTTTCAGACCCACCTGAATTCGTTGAACAAGAGATTTCTTTTTTGCCTTGGCTTGTTGCAGGCTGGGATCTATGAGCTGATTTAATCAGTAAGATAATTAAAATGAAAATCTCAGAACCAAATGCAGGTTAAGAAAGCTGCACATAGACTACTTCATTAACAAATGAATAAAGGCTGA